GCTCACCTACCACATCTCACATATCATTCACCTACCTCCCACCTATCGCTCTTCTGGTTTTTATAAATAGTCTCGTATGGCTTGTCTTAAGCCAAGTCAAGTCCTCTAAGATAAAGTGAGGAAGAGAGAGAGAGGGGAAGGGAGAGAATAAAATAGAGATTTTATTGTAAACGTCGAGGTGCTCGAATGTGTAATTCCTCAAAGAAATAAAATCCTCTGCAGTTCCGTGGAAATAGGCAAATTTGTCGAACCACGTAAATGTATGTGCGCTCTGGTGTTTTTTCTGCGTGCAATATTTCTCGTTTCATTTTTCACTTTATTATCGTCATTTTTCACAACACGTATCTCTCTGCCAAGACTTTCATATTGAATGTTTAATATTACATCCATGCATGAATTTATAATATGAAGTTTTGGTCGTGTACATTTCTTTTTAATGGAGCATTTACATACATGCCACTAGGTTCTTATCTATTTGCACATTTATATTTAAATATTGTTTATAATATTTACATCATCCAAAATTTTCAAAATTTTCATATGACATCAAAAATATATCTTAATTTTTAAGAAATAAAATACACATATTTATGTATAGATAAATTAGTATATATATAGAAATTTAAACTTAGATGTTGAAATATAAATAGATAAGAATTGAATGGTAGGTATATGTGTAAATCATCACATAAAAAAATGGGCAGAAATGGTATTTTCTTCAAAAATTGTTTTGTGAATTTGAAAATATTAAATTATAATATTTTTACAATTAAATTCGCTTAAATTTTGGGGAAAAAAAATTCATGCATGGGCAAGGGAAATCATTTAATTTTTTTTTAAAAAAAGGGGTGTCTTAAAATTTAATTAAGACGGAATTTTTTGGCTATTAAATTACATGCATGAAAATGTTTACAATACAAATTAATTGAGAAAATTATCAAAGATAATTACTTGATATGTACATGAGGTCATTTTTGTCAAAGAATATAAATTTGTTAATTTAGGATTTGTTTGGGGCTGCTACAACTTATTAAAAAGTAGCTCTGGAGTTACTCAAAAATATTATGTTGTTCAAAATGTAGTGATGTGTCAGGGACAAAAAGTTCCACATCGGCTATGTGTAGAGCTGAAAAGTATTATTTAAGTCTTGGGCTGTCCACCACCCCTAAGAGCTCTTTTG